GCCTACCATAACAACACTGACCTTCGAAACCAGATGCCGCCAAACAATACCCAAAGCTATAGGACGTACACCACCACCGGGCTTGACAAGTCGGTAAGAAGAGCACTAGCAATATACTCTCCTAGCTCCATAGGACATCTTCTAGTAATAATAACAATAACAATAACAATGAACTAAACTAAAACGAACTGAATTAAACTGTTCTACATAGAAGTCCCCCAAACGAACATGGCTTAAATCAAAAACTGTGAGACCTATATTTATCGAGAAATTATAGTTTTTCCACTAGATAAACAAATTTATTTATTTTGAATTTTATTTATCAAGAGGATGATAATAGGAAAAATGAAAACTAATAATCCCATTGATATGTCCATTTTATATAGTATTTTACCCTCATCCCTTGGTCATAATTAGTAGTGTTTTCGGCTCTTTAGAGCCACTTTTATTACTATTTGGTGTTTTCTAGTGTTTTCGTAGATTTGGTTGACTTTTGTAGGGATTTGCACTCTTGGAGCATTTTCCCGAGATATTATGGAGTATTTACGAGCATTGGAGAAGCACGACCAGTTTCTATGGCCCAGGGCCAGTTAGAGCCATCGAACCGGTGATTAAGAGCTCGGTATATGTGATACCGGGGCATTTGGACCGAGTATTCAAGACCCGAAGAGGAAATCCGGATTGGCCAGAAGAATTGGAGCTCAATCGAAGTCCAAAGAGTAGCCTAAGAGTGCCGCCCAGCCAAAGGAGCTCCAGCCCGAAGGCGCATACCCGACTGGGCGGGGGAAGCGAAGCTGGCGATCGAACTTGCGCCCAGCCGGGCGCGAGAGACGCACCTGGAAGTAAAAAGGCGGGCCCGGCCTCGCCCGATCAGGCACGTGTCATTATTAGGAGGTTTTAATCGTCGTTTAAGTTTATTTTAGTTTAGGATTCTTGCTTAATATAAATACTTTTCCGTTAAGCGAGTTAAGCATCTTCTTTTACTCTTTCTTAATTCTTCTCTTAGATTTTCTCTCTCTACTTAGCTTTTAGATTAGTTTCTCTCTCTACAACTTTGTTCTTTACTCAATCCTTAATTCAGATTATTTGGTAACGATTTCTTCTACTTTAATCTCAGTTATTTACTTTAATTCTTTCATCATGTCTTCTTTTATTACTTTGATTAGTTTAGATTTAATTATGTGTGAGTAGTTTTTTTTTTCTAGGGTTTGTGGGGATCCATAAATAATATGAAGGGGTAATTTATTGTTGTTGATTATCAATGCTAGATTAATTTCCTATTGATTGATTTAATGCTCTGTGACTAGATTAGGCCTGATCTTTTATGCATGAGTTTGACAATATTGATTCGAGATTCGAGAGATGAGATTTGATGTTTAGGTCTAGTTTCAATAGGCAGGTTAATTTATAAATGGTTAAGTAGTCGAGATTCGAGAGATGAGATTTAATACTGGTAGATTAATTCTGTGATTGTAATACGTAGCGAAAGCCCTTTATGATCTGATTAATTGATGCATTGATGTTTGATTATTATGCTTTACCCTGGAATGTTATTTATTGGTGAACCTATGCCCTAGGTCTTTTATTCATTGATTTTCTCTATTCTTACTCTTCTCTATTCTTACTCTTCTCTACTTTTACCCTTAGTAGTTTAGTTATCCTTCGATTACAATATTTTGGTTACTTAATAATTTAGATTATAATAACTAATTAGGAATAGAAAGACTTGTTTCCCTGTGGATTCGACCCTACTTCCCTATCTGCATTAGCTAGAGGATTTAGGAATTACTTTTGATTGGGTGATACGAATTTAGCCTGTCACCCACCTTTAGTAAGTCTTCCATAAACAATCCCACCTTTAACATGAATCTTCCATAAACGATCTCTTTAACCTATAACCGTTTAAACCAGTTAAACTTTTTTTATTTTTTTAAAGCCATCTTCTCCCACCTTCCTTGAGTTCCTTCAATGAACTGCCACCTAAACCACCACCAACTCCTCAACTCCTCACTCGTCACCGGCCACCATTCACCCAGCCACCACCAACCGCAACCTTCTTACAACCCCACCAGCCATAAACACCTTTCCAATCCTCCATAAGTAACCCCCTAACACCCACGCAACCACCAACAACACCTAAAGGCCGAAAACCCCACGCTTACCATCCATGAATTTTTCCGCCAGGATTCAACAAATCCACCCACCAAACAAAATCCCAGAAATTCAACAAATCCTTAAAAAGGAATGGGCATATAAACATACAAGAATTCAACAATAACCCAGATCATTCAATTACAAACCATAGAAATAGATCTTAAGACAAATTAGTCACATTATAAAGATATGATTTTGAATATAATCAGGGATAATACTAAAAATGAAACAATAAACAAAAATTGAAACATAAATTAAGGAGATGATGACATTGGACAGTTTTGATAGATCGAATCAATCCAACGGCTGAGCTTAAACCATTGATGAAAGATGTTGAGGAATGTTGATAATGATGGTGATGATGAAGTGCAGCAGCAAAGAAGAAAGACACGTGGTGATGATGATGCGCGGTGATGACTGAATCAATCAATCACCGATTTCTAGTCGAAAGGACACCGAAGTTAGGTTGCAGGGGAAGGGAGGCGGTTGCAAACCTACCACAATGATGTGAAGGGCGGGAATGGAGAGGAGGTGGGGCAATGCATTAAGATTGGCGGGCTGGTGGTTTTTTTTTAATTAAATTATTATGTTTTTTAAATTTTAAAAAAATATAGTAAACTTATTAAACGCCGGACACGTGTTATAAAAGTAGAAAAAACCGTTTACCAAAACAATACAACCGGTTAGGGATTATTAATGGAAGATCCATGTTAAAGGTGGGATTGTTTATGGAATTTCAAAAGATGGGATTGTTTTATTGTTTATAGAAGACCCACTAACGGTGGGATTATTAGTTGCTATTTTTCCATAATAATATATTTTCTCAAAGAAGTATAATACGGAGTAATATGAATCATAGAAAATGACAAAAGAATGCAAATAAAAAACACATAAGAACATTGAAGAAAAACTAGCATGATTAAGAAGCTGATCGAGGGGTAATCATTAAGGCTTCATTTGTTTTGAAAAAAACATTTTCTTAAAAAATAATTTTCTCATTTTATGTTCTTCGGTTAGTATAGGCCTATAGAAAAAGAAAACAATTTCCCAAAGGTAGAAAATAGGAGCTGTGCCCAGTTAATTCCCTAGATAAACAAATTTTGTTTATTTGGAGGTATAATCGTCTTTTTAAATATCAGTGGAGGGATAAATGCGTCTTTTCATGCAATGGTTGAGGGGACATGTGTAATTTTTTCACCAAACAACAAATGCAAGTTGCAAACAGTAATTAAACAACTCACCAAAAGTACTGAATAAATGACCACGCTTTTTCAATATATTTACATAAATGTCACCAGATTAACAAAAATTCGTTTATCTGGTTGATAAACTTGTATTTGTCGGGAACCAACGAGTAGATAATGTTGTCTTATTATAAAGGAAAGCATGTCACATTATATATTAGGCCTCGTTTACTTCACCTTATTAATTTTGTTGAACTGAAATTATTTTTACTGAATTGAAATTATTTTTACCGATTCTCTATTATATTTCTTCCTTAGAGTTACCGATTTTTACTAAACTGAAATTATTTATCTGAACTGAAATTAATTTTATTGAATTGAAATTATATTTATTGAACTGAATTTATTTTTACTGAATTTTTTTTAAGGTGAACTGAATAGGACTTTACTTTATACTGTACTCCAGTAGTGCTTACACCTCTTACTTCTCCGCTCATCCATGTTCTCCCTTTTACCCCTATTTTTATTTCTCCTTATACTTCTTCTGTTCTTTTTTACTTGATCTGTTTCTTTTATCACGCTTGTCAATGCAAAAATTTAGTGATTAATAACTTTAATTCATCATAAGTGAAAATTATAAAAGTTTTATATTACGATAGTACTTATTGAGACGACGCGAATTAAAAAAGATATCATTTGAATATATTTTTCCTTACATATCATTCACAAAAGACGGTCAAAGAAGAGGTGGTAAATAGTGTAAAAGTCAAAGCGGGTCAAGTAAAAAAGAACGGAGAAAGTATAATTTTTTTTGCAATTGTAAGAAAACATACAAAGAAAAACCGTTGTTACAATTGTGTTTTACATTAGTTTGGAAATGATTTCATGGAGAATCATTATCTCAAAAAATTGTTATCCGTTAAAACAAACGGGCCTTTAAAGCAAGTCACTTAACATATTCAATGAGAAATACAAACATAATTTTATTTTATTTTATTTTATTTATTTATTACTTTTTTTTGGCATCGGTAACCCAAAAACAGAAATTGATATTGGAACTTGTACGTTGTAAATATATATTTATAATTTTATAGATATATAAGTATTAAATATACTCTTAAAAATTATATAAAATTAGGAATTCATGACAAAAACACGCGTAAATCATGTAATTAGTGTTTATTTTCGTAATTTCTCAACTTTTTACGATTTCTAAGTGTAAATTTAATACTTATATGTAGCCTTAAGGAGAGTAAGGTCTATGTATATCAATTTCTTTCTTTTTCTTTTTTTTAAAATTTTTTTTTAATTAATTATTTTTTTTTTTTTATATTATTATGTATTTATTATGTTATGTGTTATGAGCTGTTGCGGCAGGTCATAACGTACAAGATATATACTCCAATATTTTAAATTAAGTTTGCAACAATTTTTGTGTAATAAATTGGGATGGGGCAATGTCGCTATGAAAAACTATATGATAAACTACAAATAATATTAATCTCGTGATTATTTATAAATACTGTATCAAATATCATTAGAGAAAAAATAAAGGATCATTCACACAATATTAATAATTTAATTTAGTTAATCATTGTTAATGTAAACTCTGAATTCAGCTCTATAAAAGGGATCGAGGAGGGTCATGCACGTAAAAATTATCCAAAGCTCCCCTTAAACACACAATAATTAATTTGATCCTTCCCTTTAAAAGAAATTTGTAATTTAAAATCTTACAAGTTCATCATAATGTGGAAGCTGAAGATATCAGAAGGAAATGATCCATGGCTGGTGAGCTTAAACGATCACGTTGGTCGGCAACATTGGGAGTTCGATCCCGAGGCCGGAACACCGGAGGAACGAGCTGAGGTCGAGAAGGTTAGAGAGGAATTTAAGAGGAATCGGTTCAAGAATAGGCAAAGTGCTGATCTCTTGATGAGAATGCAGGTTTAAACATTATCTTTGTTGTTGTTAATTTGTTATGCTATATACTTCTCCTTAGTAACCAAGCTTGTTTGGTGAAGTTGGTAATTAAGAAGCTAAGTTTTAACTTTGAGGTTACGAATTCGAGCCCATCAACTACATTTGTTTCATTGTTTGGGCGTAGGGGGATTTTCTTACCTTCCTCTCTTCTCTCAAGAAATTAGTGAAAAGCTCACCTTGTGACTTTAAGATTACGATTTAAACCCATCAACTATATTTGCTTGGGAACAAAGGGATTCGCTTATCTCCCCCTCTACTTTCAAGTATTGATCTGACCTAGGAAGCTAGATTGTGACCTTTAAATCCTCTTGTATGACATTATTGTGCCTTTCTCCTCCTTCAATTCTCAAGTTTAAGTGCATTTTTTTCAACAAACATTAAAATTGGGCAAGGGAAAAGTGACTAGTAGATTCGACCTAATTCAGGCTCATACAAAGATTATCAAGACACTAAACATGTACTATTTATAATTAAAAACTGTACATAAAACGATGATTTGATCTAAACTTATTTTTTTATCTGATCTGAACTTATTTTTTCTGATCTGATCTGAACTTATTTTTTTTATCTGAACTTATTTTTTTTTTAAAAAAAGTAAAAATAAGGTGAAATAAACAAGGCCTAAATGGGCATTGTACTAAAAAAAAAAATTAGTATTTTTTATAAGCATAATAAAACATACTAGGATCAATATGACAATATGTGGTTCAATTATATCCTCCGTATAGTTATGTCGAATTTCAATGTAAGAGTATAAATTATTTGTTTTGATTAAATTTTTAAGCAAATTTGAACAGTTAAGAAAAGAAAAGCCAAGTATGGAAATGATTCAAGGAGTGAAGTTGAAAGAAAGAGAGGTAATAGGAGAAGCAGCAGTGACCATAACACTGAAGAAGGCCATCAACTTCTTTACCAGTATTCAAGCCCATGATGGTCACTGGCCTTCTGATAATGCTGGCCCACTTTTTTTCATACCTCCCCTTGTAAGTCTCATTTTTTTTTTTTTTAATTTTATTTACTACAGTATTTAAAAGTTTTAAAGGACACTAATTTTTATTAATTAAAGTCAATTTTTAAAGTATTTCAGGAGTGAGGTGAATAATCAGTATGTTCCTTTTATTTTGTATTATCTGTTATATTTTTGTTGATACATTTATCAATACACAAATTTGACTGGTAATATCTATATATATAATTATTATGGAGTATATAAAAATTAAAGTTGATATGACATAAATAGATTATTACTATGTTACTCGATAACAACATTTGAATAAAAATATTTGTTTTTTTAAGAGTTGAAAGTATTTTTTTATTTAAGAGTAGATTCTGATTGTGGTCGTATTATGCACCAAATTCACGTGAAGAGTATTCCATGCAAAGTCATAATATTGCATTGATAAATAATTTTCGGTTATGACTCTATACGTTATAGGAGATCTCAATAAGATTCTATCTCATGAACATCAAAAGGAAATAAAACGTTATATTTACAATCATCAGGTATTTGAACTATACTCTCTAAATTTGTTACTGTATTATTGGCTGTATTTACACTTAATGTAACATCTTATTGTCCTTATTTTTTCTTGATGAAATTTTGTTGACTTTTTTCCGGCCTATATGTAATACCAAGTACAAAGTATTTATTTCGAAATATATAGCAGAATGAAGACGGTGGATGGGGATTCCACATTCATGGCCATAGTACCATGCTTGGTTCAGCAATTAACTACGTTGCCCTAAGGTTAATGGGAGAAGGTCCTGATGATGGTGTAGATAACGCGGTTGCAAGAGGTCGTCAATGGATCCTTGATCATGGTGGTGCTACAAGCATTCCATCTTGGGGAAAGTTTTGGCTCGCGGTTTGTTTTTACTACTAAATATATCGATTCTTCTTTAATTGAAAGTAGCTAGCTAGTAGACTAAATTTAAGCCGTACACATGTGTACACTGTGAGTACTGAGTACCATGCTCTCGCCACAAATTAACATGGAAGTTCTTTTAAATACACTTTCAAGTTATGTTCCTTTAACAACGGACATAAAACATGGCAGTGTATTAAAAAGAACGTGATCTCAAAATAACATACCTCATAGAAAACAATTAATAAATGGAAAATTTGTCTCGAAGGGACTTAGATATTTACTCTTTTGTCTGGAAGGACCTTATATGTTCAAAGTGGTCTAAAAGGGCCTTATATGTATGTTTTGTTGTCCAAAGGGAGCTTGACGTCATATTCCGGTGTTTGACTTTTTTACTCCGGTGTTGACTAGTCACGGCATTAAGGCCCCTCTGGACAACAAAACATACTTATAAGGTCTTTTTAAACCACTTTGAACATATAAAGTCATTCCAGACAAAAGAGTGAAAATATAAATCCCTCCCAGACAAATTTTCCTTAATAAATCATGACTATATTCTTATTCATTGACTACGCTTTGTATAAGTGTATAACAAGCTAGCCATTCTTTTGGCATTGAATTAAATACTATAGGTGAGTGGAGTGTACGAATGGGACGGGTGCAACCCAACGCCTCCAGAACTTTGGCTCCTCCCTGATTTTTTACCAATGCATCCAGGTTCTTATACTACTCTTTGCATCCATACCTATGCATGCATGCGACTGTGTTTCGTTTTGTTTCCAAAAATTAAAATGTATTGGACGACTGGACGGAATGTTGTGCACAAATAATAGTATGTATTTGTAATACACACTATTTCCTTGTAATCAAATGAAAATTTCAATATACTTAATGATCAAAGAACTACATTGGATGTTTGGAACGAAAGTAATATTGGATTTTTGTAAAGACGGTTCTATACTTTTTTTTTTTTCTTTCTGAACTGATTGAAGTAGAACAGAATTGAACTGAAATGAATATTTTATGACAGAAGGAAATTAGGAGCTGAATTGATTGGGGCTGAGCTGAATTGATTGGAGCTGAGCTGAAATGAAATTAAGCTGAAGTGAACAGTCCCTTACAACGACACCATATAATGATAAAAATACAGAATAATATTAAAAAAATTAACTTTAATTACAGAAGTCATAGAGAGAGAGTGCAGAGAGAGTATTACTATGTAATATATTTCCTTGGTTATTTTTGCTTTAGATATTGCAAATTCACTTCTATATTTTTATTTTTTCCAAATCTAACATTGATTTTTGTTGTACAATTAAATTGAAGGAAAAACTTTGTGCTATTGCCGATTAGTGTACATGCCAGTATCATACTTGTATGGTAGGAGATTTGTTGGTCCAATCACTCAACTCATTCAGTCACTTAGAACAGAAATTTACCCCCAGCCATACCATGAAATTAACTGGAACAAAGCTAGAAACTCATGTGCTAAGGTAAGTTCTAGAATTTCTTACGACGTAATCTAATTTTGGACACAACTAACAACTTTTTGTAGGAGGATCTTTATACTCCACATTATGTGTTACAAGACATGATTTGGGGACTTCTTCACCACATTAGTGAGCCAATCCTCAACCGTTGGCCCTTCTCAAAGCTGAGAGCAAAAGCGCTCAAAACGGCAATACAAAATGTACACTATGAGAACGATAACAGCAGATACTGCAGCACTGGTTGCATTGAGAAGGTATACAATGTTGCCATTCCCAAATCCTAATGATAACAAAGAAACCCTTAGCAAAGCTTGGTGGAGTTGGTAGGGAACTCACCTTATGACTTTGAGGTCACAAGTTCAAGCCCCACCTACTACAAAATGCTTGAGTTTAGGGGGATTTCTTTACCTCCCCCTCTACTCTCAAGCGTCGACGTGCGGAGCTAGGCTGATTAAACTTGTGAGGGGTGTCGTTCAGTAGGGTTTTTTTTATCTTAGCTTTAAAAAAAAAAAAAAAAAAAAAAAAAAAAAAAAATCTTTGTTGTATTAAGCACTTGTGGCACAGGTACTTTGTTTGATGGCTTGTTGGGTGGAAGATCCAAATTCAACAGCATACAAGAAACATCTAGCCAGATTTCCTGATTATTTGTGGGTTTCAGAGGATGGGATGAAGTTAACGGTAACTTTTTGTAGCTACACAAAAAATTGTTGTGTAACAATTTTTCGTGTGCAGTTTACTCATGATCCTCGTTTTAATTTGGGAGCAGGCCGTTGGTAGCCAAACCTGGGATGCAGCATTTGCATTTCAAGCAATATATGCCAGTGGTCTTACTGATGAATATGCAACACCACTTAGGAAAGCACACGGTTTTCTCAAAGCCTCACAGGTTTCCCTATTCTTTTTTTTTTTTTTTTTTTTTGATAATTTACTGTATATAATATCATGGTATACTTTCAACTTTCTGAAATTTATGTTAAGAAAAAAATGAGAGAACATTATAAACCTTTAACTTCCATTTAAAAGGTTTCAAAAAAAAAAAAAAAAAAAAAAAAAAAAAAAAAAAAAAAACTACAGTGAAGAGGGTTTAAGTATTTCATACAAGTTTTTCAAATGTAAATAGAGTTTCTTGTCCAATTCTCCTTGAATTCATACCTTATAAATTAGTTTAAATTATTTGAACTAATAATGTTTATTATGATCTATTGCAACAGGTTAAGGAGAATCCATCAGGAAATTTCAAGGAGATGTATAGACATATTTGTAAAGGTGCATGGACTTTCTCAACACTAGATCACGGTTGGCAAGTCTCTGATTGTACTGCAGAGGGGCTCAAGGTAATTGAATACACATTTTCTATCATAAACAATACTCATCTAGCCATTTCTTAACCCTCGAGTTTTCATCTTTAGATGAGAACACCTAACAACGTAGCAAAATTAAAACACCCCCTGCCCCCTCTTTTCCAGTCATTTCTATTTTACCATCCTTGGCAGTTCCTTAAGAACTTACAGTGTATCCGACTGCTCTTTCCCCAAGTACTCGATCATAGCCCCGCAGAGGATCCCAACTGTAGAAAGAGAGCCAATTTCAAGCGATTGTGGTTGATTTTTTTATGAGAAGAATTTATGTCCTTTTCTTGTTGCATCTTGAATAGGCTGCACTTTTATTTGCAAAAATGTTCCCTGAACTTGAGGAAGAAAAAGTGGAAGCACAACACCTATACGATGCGGTGAATGTCCTCCTTTCTCTACAGGTATGTGTTATACGAAGTAATAATTTCTTGTACAATTATTGATATAATTTAGAGAACACATTGCCATTATAAACTAGCCAAGTTATGTTCACTTCAACTTACTTTGAGTAATATCAAAGAAAGTAATTTCAGCTAAGTCAAACATAGTCATAATTTCAAACTATAAAATCATATAGTTCAAGTTTTGATAATTTCAATTTTCAAATATCACTATATATGTCTTGGATTATTGGAGTAATTAACTAATTATTCCATGCAATTTGCCCTATCCTTTTGGTAGAGTGAGAATGGTGGTTTGCCAGCTTGGGAGGCTCAGCGAACATACACTTGGATTGAGGTATTGACTAACTTCTTAAATATTACGAGTACCTCCGTTTCATATTATTTACCACTTTGAGGTATTATTTGTGAGACATAAATATTTTAAAGTTACAAATCATATGAAACAGAGGTAGTAATATTTTATAAAACTTAAAATATTAATTATTACAATTTGTAATACCTTTGTAATAACATGTGTTTGTCAATTTCACATGGTCTCAGAAATTCAACCCTACAGAGCTCTTCGGCAGTGCTCTAATTGAAAGAGAGTAAGCTTTTATATGCTAAGATTGCCAACCTTTTTTTTCATAAACCATTATCAGCTAATACCTCGGTAGTTAACTAGAGATGATCAGAGACCGGACCAAAACAATCGGTCGTAATTGAGTTAAAAAAGAACTACAAAAATTTCTAATTTAATTCATATAATCTTGATTTTTAATGCTGTTATACTAGGCATGTTGAGTGCACTTCCTCAGTAATCCAAGCTTTAACACTCTTCAAGGAGCATTACCCAGATCACAGGTCTGAACAAATAAAGGACTCCATCTCTAGAGGAATACAATACATTGAAAGTACTCAAAACCCTGATGGTTCTTGGTAAATATGAAGTACTTCATATAATTTTTCATTTGTTTACCAACATGCACAACACAATTTTGATTTTTCTCTCGAAAATTTCACCTTTTTTTTCATTAGTCCAGTTGAGCCTTCTATCTAGAAAAATACACTTCGAGGTTATGAGAGTGACTTCAATTTGGTTTGTTTTTGCGAGGATAGGTATGGATTTTGGGGGATATGTTTTACATATGCAACATGGTTTGCAGTGGAGGCACTACTGACGAGTAATAAAAATTACCATAATAGTCAGGCTGTGCAAAGGGGATGTGAGTTTCTACTCTCAAAGCAATTGCCTGACGGCGGGTGGGGCGAAAGTTACCTCTCAAGCTCAAAAGAGGTACTCTAATTCACTCCCCTCTCTCCCTCCCGGCCTCCCCTGACCCCAAGGTCGGTAAAAGACGCATTTCTAACCCGATCAGTTTGTCACAATTTTCCCCCGAAAGTCTAGATTTGTGCATCACTCCTCTGTTTGGTATTGTGGAGCAGGTTTATACAAACCTGAAGGGAAACAAGTCAAATGTGGTGCAAACTTCATGGGCATTATTAACTCTCATTAGAGCAGGGCAGGTGAGTATACTTGCATTCTATCCTAAATTTCCTATTGCAGCTTAAAGAAAGAGCCAGCAACCTTAAACCTATGGTTAACCCAAATGATTCTCAATGTAACAGTGGGATGTGGATCCAGATCCTGTAGATCGAGGGATGAGGTTGGTAATCAACTTGCAATATGAAAATGGAGACTTCCCGCCACAGGTAAAATAAAGTTTTCTTCTAAAACTAATCAATTTTGATGAACACAACCATAAGTACTAAACAGAATTAAATATATCTTCAAATGATACTACACATCTTCAATTGAAACTACCTACGTCACGGGTGTTACTACTATACAGCAACATAATCAAAGAGAACTCAACAAGAAACAACATTAGGGGTACTCATAGAGAGCAAAAGACTTTATTACTTAAGTACAAATGTACAATAGATGATGAAAAAAGGATAGAGCTATAGAAGATTGTCATAGAGGAAATAAAATACAACAAGATATTAATGTGTGTATATAATTAAAAAAAAAATGTGAGAAAAGCTTGAAAAAGAGGTCCTCATATTTTAGAAGTTTTTGATAAAATGTGCAAAACGTTTGCATAAAAAAATAATAAAAACAAAATAATGCACAAGACAATGTTATTTTTAAAACTTATATTTATTGATTCTCTATTATATTTGTTCTTTAAAATTACTAATCTTTACTGATTAAACATTATTTTTACCGAAATGAAAATTATTTTGCTCAATATTAAGAGAACACTCAAAACCGGGCTTTATTTAGAAAAGTAAATTTTTTTAAAAAAAAAAGAAAGAAAATTAAAGAAGAGAATAACATTAACTTGATTAAAAGTACAATAGAAAATAGTGAAGTTAGTTAAAAAAATAAATGTGAACTAAAGAATTGATATTGAAAAGATACGACTTTCAAAACCACAAAAATTGTAGTACAAGACTTCTATTTAGGGATCGAGGGAGTATCACTTACCAATATAATAACTAGAAAAGTTTGCCTGTGGTAAGAGTAGATTGTTCCTCTATACAAGTATTTGCCTTGGCACATAAAAATAGTGCCTTAGCAGAGTTTTCAACTAAATATTACGGTAATCATGCAGAGATTGTAAAAGTGTTATAATTAAGTTCATATAAATTCAATTTAAACCTAGACCCTCATTTAAGTTCAGTCATTGTACACTATATTTAGTGTTTTACTTCTTACCCATAATATTCTAACAAATATGCTATTATGGTAACTTTCTACAGGAAAGCACTGGAATATTCATGAAGAGCTGCATAGTAGAATTTTCATCATACAGGTGTATTTTCCCAATATGGGTTCTTAGTGAATATCGACGTGTACAAGCACAAAGATTAGGCATACTATAAGCAAGCCCAATACTCACTGGAACTCCAAGAGAGATGGTTACAAGTTACTAGTATCTATAGTGTATTGCTGCATAACATCACAGGATGTAAAAGCAAATCATACAACGTTGGCTATTATACTGTTTTATGCTCTAGCTTACTAATCTTTGTCAATATGTAAGTGCAATGAACCACTCATCCACACCACACACCTATAGTTACACTTACAGCCGGAGACATGGACAAAATCAGCAGCAGGGAGACACCACCAACCCGCAACAGTTACAAGCTCTACCTTGAGCCACTGCAGTCTGCTATCTTTGGATTATTAGCTTGCTTTGTTATTTGCTTTTAGGAAAAGGACAAGAATTAGTAAATGTAACAATTAAGGCTTGTTTCCATGTCAAGTGAAGGATAGTAGTATAAGTAATAGTAAGCTTAGGAAGGGGAATTCATTTCAGAAAATTGTGTATTGAAACTCTTGGAGAGTAATGGCCTAAAGTCATTCACTTGCTAACCATTTGGTTAGTTAATTTTCATTCAATCAATTGTCCTCTTTCATAATTCAAACTTGTCTTCTTGGTTAGTCTTTCTTGGAGCGCAGATCGTTGCATTTGGTATCAGAGTAGCCATGGCTTCGTGTCACGTTCCGGGAGTTTGGACCCCGAAACGTGCGGCGCGCTCTAGCTTTTTGGCGGCAAGAACGCTAGCCTTGAGCAGAAGAGCTTCTGAGCACAAAGCAACACAAGCGGGCAATTAAATCAAGGGAGCACTCACATCTATTTAGGCGACGGAATGCGGGTGGTCGGGGCTTGTGACGACCGATACTTCGAGGCAGGCACAAGTGGGTCCGAACCACAAGTTCTTAGTGCATCAAGTTGGGTTGGAGGGGAGCTATTATGCAAGTAAGACACAATATCTATAAAGGTCTAACAACAAACAAGCATAAAAGCAAGGCAACACTTGGTAGAAGGCTTAAGATTTCATTAATCATTTACCCTCTAAAGAGCTTTAATTTGATTACAAGGAAAATCCCTAGTGAACACTGAAGTAATAGTAACACAATAATAGGACCTCAAGCAAAGAAAACATAAACTAAACTCTAAGAAAGCATCTAAAGAGAATCTAATACATCAAAAAGAGTTGGATTCTAACACTTCGGCAGCAGGGACAAACACGCAACGAATCAAAGCATTAGAAGGGCACCCGATTGAGGTCGTGTCAAAGGTGGACAGAGGAGAGAGATCATCCAACACATTCTGATTCTGTCCAAGACAGAGAGCACTCCAGAAGTCAGTTCAACCAGGAGAACGAAGCACAGCGAAACAAGGCGGCTTGGAGGCCGGATAAACCGCTTCACGGACGACCACAACTACAGGTTACTCTTTTACATAATAACCAAGACAAATTCATTGAAGAAGTTCGTGGCATCATGACCGCCCTCAACGACAAGGGGAAGAAACCTGTCGTGGTGGTCGAGGATGAAGAGGAGTGACTTTCTGGAGCAGGTGGGGGAAACGATAGAAGGTTTGGGCTAAAGTATGAGAGGATAAGGGAGCACCCAAGGGACATGGAGAGCGGGGAAAACTTTGGAGGTCAAGGAAATTACAATCTTGAGTGAACAATATTTCCACTTTTACCAACTCGGAGAAGGTGAGAAATAACAAGCGTCGGTGGTTTCCATGGAAAACGATGCCTTGAGGTTGTATCAATGAAAAAACCGTCGTTGGGTACCGATCAATTCCGAAACTTTACATGAACAGTGATTAGCGGTGAGCCACACCACCACCGTGGCAAAGCACTGACGAGCCTTCATAGAAAAGGTGTGACCACTGAAAGACATTCCGGAAAGCCTCATGAAGGGGAAATTCGTAATTACTTAAGGAAAAAGGTACGGGCCAAAATTCGAATGCTCAACCCGATAACCCTAGAACAAGCTATGGATCTTGCAACCTGGGTGTAGGAGAGAAATCTGGTGAGCGGGTTAAGGAGAGTGGGTGGAGCATTCACCAAACCCGGTCCATATTCCTATTTCAACAAAAGCCCGACGATCCTGGGTGGCGAAACTGGCCGAAACCCAGATCCAAACCCCCTTCCAGCCAAAAAAAACCCACCAAACATCAAAACTCATACCCAAAGCTCAGTTGGTCAACCAACCAACCCACATTTTCAACATCAAGAACTTACCCATCTCCTTCTCGTTTCAGTGGGCAAGTCGGGAGAGAAGGAGCTTTAAAAGGCCAGGGGTCTTTGCTTTAAATGCGATGGGAGATATGGAATTGGGCATGTATGCCAATCCAAGGGGCTTAGTGTGTTGTTGGTGGACGAACAAGAGGAGGAAGAAGGTGGAGAGTTGTTGGCGCTTGAGACACCAAAGGAAGGAGGAGAAGGATTTCCAACCATGATATCCATCAACTCGATCATGGGCCTCACTAACCCTAAAACCATGAAGTTAATCGGAAGAATTGGAGAAGAGGAGATGGTAGTCATGATTGACCCGGAAACGACGCATAATTTCATCTCCTTGCACACGGTTGAATGCTTGGAATTCCAGTGACCGAAGATGGTACTTTTGGGATGTCATTGGGAAACGCAGAGGCGGTTAAAGGGCGCGGGCAGTGAGCTGAGATTGAACGGTGAAGTGGAAATACTAGAGGATATTTTACCCTTGCAATTCCGATGTTATTCTCGGAATCTAGTGGCTTAAGAACTTGAGTTTGATACTCACCAATTGAAAACCCAGAAAATGAGTTTCACATGGGGAGGGAAGACCGTGACCATTTGTGGGGATCACTCTCTTGCGCAGACTGTGAAGGGTGGAATCAAATGAAACTGTGGGTCATGACGATAGCAAACCGGGGTTCTTGCAACCGATTCTAGCGGAGTTTTCGAAGGTGTATGAAGCTTCGATCGGACTGTCGCCATCTCGTGGACATTAGCATGCCATTGCACTCAAGGATGGGAGTAACCCGAATAGCGTTCGACCCTATAAGTATCCACGATTCCAAAAGAATGAGATTGAGAAACTCTTTTGAGAGATGCTTGAGGCGGGCATAATCCGACCCTTTACTAGCTCTTTTTCTAGCTCGGTTCTCCTTGTCAAGAAAAAGGACGGTCATGGCGTTTTTATGTTGACTACCGACCGTTGAACAAGGAAAATGTGCCGAATAAATATCCAATCCTTGCTATAGATGAGCTATTGGACGAGTTGGGTGGTGTAAAAATGTTCCCCAAACTTGACCTTAAGGTTGTGTACCACCGAATCCTAGTGAAGGGCGAGGATGTGCATAATACGATCTTTTGAACGCATGAGAGCCATTGTGAATTTCTTGTAATGTCATTCGGTCTAACCAATGCACCGACCACTTTTCAATCTCTAATGAATGAGGTATTCCGACCTTACCGGCGTAAATTCATTCTTGGGTTTTTTTTATGATATACTTGTGTATAGTTCTATTAAGGAAGAGCATGTAGTGCATTTGAAATTGGTGATGACTATCTTGAAAAATTAGAAATTGTTTGCCAACCATAAGAAACGTGCTTTGGGCCACATGATTTCTCAAAATGGGGTGGCAGTTGATTAAGAAAAGATTGCTTCAATGATTAATTGGCCCAAGCCCAAAACATTAAGGGACTTGAGAGGTTTTTAGGGCCTCTCAGACCTATTACTGAAAGTTTATTGCCCATTATGCACATGTTGCCACTCATCAACTGATAGCTAAAAAAGGATTACTTTAAGTAGGGGGATGATGCCATTGTAGCATAATAGCATTCGAGTATCTCAAGAAAGCCATGATGTACTTAAGGTTGGCAGAGAATGGTTTTGGCAGGGAATGCGTAAGGACGTGGGCAAGTATGTTAAATGTTGCGTGATTTTTCAATGGAACAAGCACTCTCAACAACAACCGGCAGGGTTAGGGTTGTTACAGCTTAGGGTTGTTACAGCTGTTACAGTCGCTGAAAGGGTATAGGAGGATATAACAATGGACTTTATCGAGGGATTACCCAATTCTAAGGGGGTGGATGTGAATTTCGTAGTGGTGGATAGATTGTCCAAATACGCCCACTTTATCGGGCTAAAGCATCCATTCAACCGCCCTCACGGAAGAAAGTGGTGCAGCTCCACGGATTTCAACAGAGTATAGTGTCAGATCGTGATCGAATTTTTCTAAGTGTTTTTTGGCGAGAGTTGTTCCAGCTTCATGGGACTGAGCCCCTCATACCATCCCCAAACAAACGGCCAAACCGAGGTAGTACACAAAGCTCTCGAAACCTACCTCCGTTGTTTCGTCGGTGGTCAGCCAAAGAATTGGTTAGTTGGGTGGCATGGCCAAGTATTCTTACAACAAAGCCATCCACACATCCACGGGCATGTCTCCCTTTAAGGTGTTGTATGGAAGAGACCCTCCAAGGTTGATGAGAATGGGGGTGGCCGACACTCTAGTGGGAAGTCTGGAGGAAAAGTTGTGAGAAAGGGACCTCATGCTTGATGAACTTAAAATGAACTTAATTAGGAGGAATTTGTCTTAAAATAAAACGAGCTCAACAAATCATGAAGGAGAATGCTGACCGAAAGTGAAGGGACAACAAATTTCAAGTGGGGTAATTTGTTTTCCTTAAGCTGCTATAGCCTTACCACAGCGCTCTTTGGCAAAGCGACCATTCCAAAAGCTAGCAGCTTTTATGGCCCGTTTGAAGTAATCCAGTGGGTAGGAAAAGTGGCATACAAGCTAAAACTTCTAGAGAATTGCCGAGTACATCCAGTGAGTAGGGGATGTGAGTAGTTCTCCAACCATTCCAACTCAAATCACATTGAAGCTAGTGGTGGAACCCGAATCAGTTTCACAGGGGGCGGGAGCAAGAGAGGTACTAGTGACGAGGTTGGGTTTACCTTTGAGGCAACTTGGGAAGACTTTGAAGGCCTCAAGTGGCGGTTTCCCGACTTCCACCTTGAGGACAAGGTGGGTCTTTTTTTTTTGGGGGGGGGGGGGAGGGGGAGGGGGGTATTGCAATGAACCACTCATTCACACCACCTATCCGTTATACTTACAGTAGGAGACAGAGCGGACAGCGGAGAGAGACAAAATTAGCACCAAGGAGACACCACCACCCTTTGGATTATTAGCTTTTTTTGTTATTTGCTTTCAGGAAGAGGACAAGAAGTAGTAAATGTAACAATTAAGGCTAATTGCCATGTCATGTGAAGGAAAGTAGTATACGTAATAGTAAGCTTAGGAAGGGGAATTCATTTCAGAAAATTGTGTATTGAAACTCTTGGGGACTAATGGCCTAAAGTCATTCACTTGTTAACCATTTGGTTAGTTATCTTTCAATCAATCAATTGTCCTCTTTCGAACTTGTCTTCTTGGGAAGTGTTTCTTAGAGCGCAGATAGTTGCACTAAGGCTAATTATGGTGACTTCTAAAGGGTAATTACCAAAAGTCAGGCTAAGGTTTTTTTTTTTTTTTTCAGTTCCCATTACACACTTGACTTATTTAAAGGGGCATTTTGTTAAATAATAGTTTGTTAGATATCGAACATGTTAAGTTTTTTTTTTTAACCTTTTTTAAATTTCTGATTAGGGGACGCCAAAAGTAATACGTGTTGCACAGTCGCACAGGTTTAGTCAGAGATTCTCAAAGAAGAGCTCAGAGAAATCAAGAGTAGATGAATGAGGAAAATTGATATGATCTTCTATTATCATGGAACCCATACAGGCAATTCAAAACAAAACCAAAAACCTCTAGAAAAGAAAAACAGGATTAAAAGATAATTCTCTAAAGGGAGATTTACATTACTGAAAGAGACATGATTTGGCTGGCGAGACCAGGATCTTGTTGAAGCAGCTCCTTTAGGTTGTTTTCCACTTCCCCCATCTGTTTCTCCAGGTACTCTTTAGAAGTCTGTCACCAAATATAAAGACAATGCATCAAATCAGAATCTTCAGCAACAATGTAATTTGTACAAATGAACAAATACAACTGAAAAAGGAGAAAGGAAAAAAAAAAGCTGAAATATTGCTAAGAGGTCTTGTTGATATGAAACATATCAAAGATTTGGAAAATAAATAAATAAATAAATAAATAAATAAATAAACCTGAAAACCTAACAAATGAAATAATTGAGAAAACAAACAAATTAATAAGCATAAAAACCTGTAAAGAAGCAATTGCAGTCTCACTATCCTTGAACTTCTGTTCTTGTTCATCAATCAAGACTGATTTTGGCTCCAGTACAAACCTAAATATTATGGACAAAAAACATAGAAGGGTGTCAAAATATTGTTGAGGATTAACAGCCACAGATTCCTGTAAGCCAAGGAGGACACTCACGTTCTTCCTGCAAAACCAAGGAAACAAAATCCACAGTAAGTTCAAAAATCTATAAGTTAAACAACAAAGACAGGAGTCGCAATCAATTGAACATAGGTCCCAAACTGCACCAAACCCCAAAAATAATAGATATGCTTCACTTGGTGTATCAAGTATTTATACTGATATTGACCTTACCAATGGATTTGTATGTATTTGTGTCATCAGGCACTTGTCGCAACTCCTCCAAGGTTAAGTAAGCACGCTTCTTTTCTGTTTCTTTAGATCGGATTTGGTTTTGCACCTGGATAGATCATAAATCATGGTTAATTTTACAATACAAAAGCATAACAAACCCATTGCAGCCCATGAAACTAATGTACTAGAAAGAATAATTCGATACGGAGCACTTAGAATGAGTCACAAGTTATTGCAGTGCTAACATCAGAATATAGAAGACATATACCTATAAACAACCTATCACACTAACAAGTTCCTCATTCTTCATAGCATGTTTTTGGAGAGTGATGGGATGAGTGATAGGATTTGGAGATAGTCCAGGGAAAGAAAAAGGAAGTAAACTGTACTATAGATGCCTTCACATATGTACCTATGTGACTATGTGTCACGGTCCGAGTGTTTTGACACAAAATCCGTGCGATGCACTCTCATCTACTGGCAAGTCAAAGGTGAAAAGGGCTTGTGAGCATGAAGCAACACAGACTGAAGACGAGTTTGATGGGCACTCTTGCGGTCTTGCCTATAGGGTTGATCGAGGCTTGTGACAATAGATGTTATAGACCTGGTGACTACCACCACTGAGCCAACAAGGAACACAGTAGCACAATAGCACTAGAGGACAAAAGCAATTAAGAAAGCACTAAGGAGAGTGGGAGCATGGGACTGATTCCAGATTCTGTACGGCAGCAGTACAGGACAAGAACAATTAATATTAGGTTAATGTTTTGTAATGTGGCTTGGTATATTAAGTGTAATAGTTAAGGCAGTTGTACATTATGTAAATTGTGAGGAAATATGTTGAGAGAATGGTAACCTCAAGTCAAGTTACTAGGAGAGTGATAACCTCAAGTCAAGTTACTAGGAGAGTGATAACCTAAAGTTATCAAGAGGGTAATAGCCTAAAGGCTAAAGCTATTAACCTGTCACTTTTGTATCCAAATTTCTGCCATTATGCATTATCAATCAAAGACTCAAACTACAATCTTTAAATTTCTTGTTAAATAGAACTTATAATCTGAAAACCCTAGTCTATTACAATAGACCAGGTTGAGGCAAGCACAAGCGGATCTGATGACAACTATCTATTTTGAGGGTCTCCTACGATATTATCTGTAAAACATGCATGAACAATGGTGTTTTTGGGAGCTTTAAACACGTGGCTGCAAGATATCATTAAATGCCTACAACAATACACAAGTATTAAAGTGATAGGCAAAATTGGCTAGGCAACTTGGATTTCATCAATCACTGCTTCCTAAAGAGCTTCCTTTACGAATTACATTATTTTCCCACATAATAACTTCTTCCAAGGCCTAGAAAATTAACAGACCTAGAAAGCTTCAACTACATTTATAGGGAATTAGGTTCTAACACTATGCTAGCAGTTCTTTGCTTGGCATGGCTAATCGTAAGCTATGATAAGAGGGTTGCATTAGCTAATGGACAGACAACATAAAACATTGTAGAAGCTTTGTAAGAGGTACTATTATACAAGCAATATACCACTGTCCAAACTCCAAGTTAGCATGCTAGCCCAGAGTTGTGCCATGACAGGCGATTTTCATGGAATTGAACTTTTTAAACTCTTTTTCACCATAATGAAACATAATAGGAAATTAAGGATGATATTGTACCATTTGCACAACTATAATTGACCTAAGTTCTTTAGATAATAAATTAACCATCTTGATAAAAATTTACAATAATGAGGATATATAAGCTACACAAGAAATAAGGCTGTCACAATTCCTTAATTATCAGAAGACCATTTCCAATTCAATACCTATATGTCACTTGACCGCTGGGAAAGTGGGAATGTAGGCCTATAAAGAGTGGTAACATCAAGCTTTTGAATATCTCTACTCTTTTTGCCCCAAAATACAAGCTTCATTTCTCCCAAAATAAAAGCCTCATTATTCATTCATGCAAGGTCCATCTTTTGATAATAATTACTATCTCTGTTCCTCAAAACAATAAACCATCCCATTACCTTTCTTTTTATTCAGCCTTAATCAACAATACACCACTATGACTTCTCTCCTTAAATCGCTTGTCCAGAATAAATATGGTGGACAGGGATGTAACACTAGTCATCACACCCTACTTTATACTTTAGACTACCAAAGTACCAAGATTTATCGAACTACTTATAGTCTACTTCCAACAATCTTATGCCTGAGCATAGGTACAAATTCCAATTCTGCCCAATCAAATAAATAATTCAATCTTTAAACAACAGTAACATGTCTTTAACATGGCTCCACATCTTCCAATGGAAGCAAATAAGAGGTAACTAATTGGATTCGCAAAGCTCCACTTAAGCACATATATAACCAATCTCAACTTTTCATATCTTTCTTTCATATCCAAATCCCTTCACCTTATTGTACTTGTTTGGTGTGTACCCAAGAACAGGTTTTCAACAAATAGAATGGATAATGAATATACATATTATTCCAAAGACAAAAACTATAACAAAGAACACAAAAACCAACCTTTTCTTTTTGAAGGAAAATACCACAACACCATGGCAATTTTAATTTTTCCATCAATTCTAAGTCGACATGAATGCAATTAAGATACGAAATGAAAGTATGAAACAATAGATCATGATAAGAACAAGGCAGCACAAATTCGAGATAAACAATGTCATTATCTATAGTAAGGGGGAGCTAACCTGCTTCAATTTAGAAGTAGTCTCAATCATACGTCCTTGAATCTCAATAAATGCCTAAATACATAAATTTCAAATCAGCAATACCCTTAAATACTTTATACTTCACATTAAAAAAAAAATTAAAAAAAAAATAAATTAACATTCTTCTCAAAAGAAATTAAAAAAAAATAACATTAAACGAATAATAACGAAATTACTTAAAAATTAGGCCAAAATTTGCATCATTAATCTTAAAAACACTAAAAATTTGCTAAAACTAAGCTTTAACATACTGTTCTGCTTGCTTCATCCGCCATTTTAGCTACTGAAATGCAGACTTAATTCAAACTTAATCACTGTTTCAGAAAATAGCAAACGATCAAAGTGCATTAATATTATTAGTACAAGTAAAAGCGAAAAGTTAATTAAAAAAAAACGAAGAAAGAGTACTGCAGTAGGGTTTAATTGGAAAAACCCTAGATCTGTAAATTGATTGGATGCTTAATTTATGAAGAAGATGAATGAACCTCGGAGATGCTAGGTCACCGGAAAGAGTTTTCCGATTTGATTTTCCGGTGGCAGGCGGTTGATCACCAGTGGAATATGGAAGGCGTCTCTGCTATCGTCCTATATAGATGAAGAGTTCTTGCAATGAAAAATTAAGAAGCAAGACACTGGTTTTCCATTTTATTTTATTTTTTATACTTCCCTGACTTCTAAGTATAGGGGTCAAAACCACACTCCTGACCCGACCCAAACCCGACTCGAAATTAATGAGAGATATTTGAACCCGACTCGACCCGAAGCTAAACAACCCGAATTCAATCCGATTTGACCCAAATTTCATATTTTGTAATAATATTAAGTTTAACACTGTTTTTGATAGTTTCTAAGCATAACCCGAAATCAACACGAATTCTAACTCGAACAGGACCTGCTGACTCGAATTGCCACCCCTACATTCGACTCGACCCGATCCTCGATCGAAACCAACTCGAAAAATATTTCGTATTTAATTTAGATTTGGACTCGCGTGGACATAATAATTTAGTGACAGGGTAAAGTCGTATCCCCTAATCAAAAATAATTCCTAAGTCCTCTAACTAAAGTAGATAGGGAAGTAGGGTCGATCTCCACAAGGAAACAAATCTTTCTATTCCTAATTAACTAAAATAATCTAGATTATGAAATAACCAATATTTATATTTGAATAAGAAACTAAACTACGAAGATTGAGAATAGGGAGAAAACAATATATAAAAGGATTTAGGGCATAGGTTCACCAATAATTAATACTCCAGGGTAAAACATAATAATCAATCATTGACATTGCATAAATAACATGATTAACAGGCTCTCGCAATTTATTAATCAACATAGATCTAACAGGCTCTCGCAATTTACTAGATCTAAGTTCTTATTGAAAATAGCCTTTAATATCAAATTAACATCTGCTCGATTCATTAATTCAATATTGCTATACTTTTACAAGACGTAATTGTAAAGCGTTAAAACAATTCAATAAGAAATTATTATGCAATATCAAAAATCAATAATAGTCAATCATCAATGCATCAATAAACCAGATTGTAAAGGGTTTTCGCTACGTATTACAATCACAGAATTAATCTACCGGTATTAAATCTCATCTCTCGAATCTCGACTTAACCATTTATAAATTAATCTGCCTATTGAAATTAGACCTAAACATCAATTCTCATCTCTCGAATCTTGAATCAATATTGTTAAACTCATGCATAAAAGATAGGCCTAATCTAGTCACAGAGCATTAAATCAATCAATAGGAAATTAATCTAGCATTGATAATTAACAACAATAAATTACCCCTTCATATTATTTATGGATCCCCATAAACCCTAGAAATAGAACTACTCACACATGATAAAAACTAAACTAATCAAAGCAATGAAGTAAGACATGATTAAAGGAATAAAATAAACAACTAAAATTAAGAGAAGAGAAATCGTTACCAAAATAAATCTGGAATTAAGAGTAGATTAAGAACAAAGGTTTAAGAGAAAGAAAACTAAGAGAACAATTAAGAGAGTAAAGAAAAGAGTAAAAAGGAAAAAGAGGAAGAGAGAGAGTAGAGAGAGGGTCCTAAAAACGTATTGCTGAGGAGTATTTATACTTTGTACAAATCCTAAGTTAAAACAAACTAAAACGACGTTAATCGTCTCCTAATCAATACACGTGCCCGATTGGGCGCGCCTTTTTGCTTCCTAATACTAATCTCGCGCCCGGCCGGGCGCCAACCTTAGCTTCTCCCGCCCGGCTGGGCGCGCCTCCGGGCGCCACCCTCTTTGGCCGGGCGGCTCACTTGGGCCACTATTTGGACTACGATTGGGCTCCAATTCTTCGGGCCAATCTGGGTTTCCTCTTCCGGTCTTGAATACTCGGTCCAAATGCCCCGGTATCACCTATACCGAGCCCTTAATCACCGGTTCGATGGCTCTAACCGGCCCTGGGCTATAGAATCTGGTCGTGTTTCTCCAATGCTCGTGATTGCTCCAAAATATCTCGGGAAAATACTCGAAAAGCATAAATCCCTGCAAAAGTCAACCAAATCTACGAGAACACTAGAAAACATCAATTAGTAATAAAAGTGGCTCTAAAGAGCCAAAAACACTACTAATTACGACCAAGGGACGGGGGTAAAATACTATATAAAATAGACACATCAAACTCCCCCAAGCCAAACCTTTGCTTGTCTCTAAGCAAAGATCTCATCAATGAATCAATAAATATGCTTCACCCCAAAAGTAAAAATCAAGCACAAACGATCCAGGGTAAATCAAATAAACATGCTTCAAAATCAACCAATCAAATCCCTCTAATTACCAATCTTCCCTAACAATTGTCAAACAGAGCAAACCACAAGAGCATATAGAATTCAAGACTAGTGCTCACGCACTCAACTCTCATTTTTGTGGCGAGTAAAAGATGTACTCGATTGCTCTCCATCCAACCCCTTTATGTGAACAATGCCCTCCCAACTCACACTCTCGTGTGTATAAAACAATGAACGCTCAATCCTACTAGTCGACTCGAAATATGTCATATCATAACTTGCATTGATATACAACACTTTCACATTCATACAATTCTATGCACAAAGGTCAGAAGGTCTTTAAAGCTTGTAATGTAAGGCTAGGGTAAAGGGTAGGAATCATTTGGGAACAGGTGAGAGAAAAGTTATGCTTAAAGGAGCAAATCCTAATAAAACCCATGATCAAAATAAACAATGATCAACATCTCCTACATAACCAAGTCTAACATCAACCAAATATACTCCAGTCATAATAAACAATCCCAACTCTCACATATCACTCATAAAAATATAATAATGAAGAAGTAGAGTGAATAAACAAACTTTATTTCCATACTTGAATATTTATATATTTTTTTTCATTGAAGCTCTATTATTTTTCTTTTGGTCAACCTCCAACTAGAACATTTGAATACTTTTCTTTTCTCTTCTTTTGAAGTTCACTTATTTTTATTTCACATTTTTTTTTTGAACTTCTCTTTTTTTTTCTTCATAACATCATGCTTTATTTTTTCAAGAAAATATAACTCTCAAACTCATCAAAAATAAACATGATCAAAAACAAAACAACTTCTCAAAACCCCACCCAAATTGTGCAAATAATAAGCACACTAGAAACTCCCTTACCTCACTTACTAATAGCTCCCCCAAGCCAAGCTTGGGACTAGTAACCAATGGGGAAAAATAGTCTTGTAATATGGCTAATAAAGCAACAAAAAGTCAAGGCAACAACATGGGTAGCATTAAGGGAACAAATGTATCTACAATATCTGGAGGTTACCTAAAAGAACAAATGCCTTCGTCCTCCTCAATGTGCATAATAATGAATCATATAAATATTACTTATAGTTGCAAACCAATACTCAAATTCATTGACATACCAGGAACTATGAAACTATCACACATTCCTAACCAAATCAACTAGTCAAGCACTATATTCACAAGTAGTTAGACAAAATTGACGCATGTTAAGGTTTAAAGGCAATCAAACATCAAATTATGATTAACTAATCCACAATGCTTATCATCAAATACCAGGAATCAAAACAATTTTCTCAAGTAAGGGGCACAGGGAAGCATAATTTACAATTCATTGGAACGTATTTTTGGATTTTTTATTTTTCAATTTTTTTGTATTTTCATATATAAGAAAGCAATAAAACTAACCTATAAAGCAAGAAATCTAACCTAAGAAAACACACCAAAAAAAAAAGAAAAGGGGAAAAAGAAAGATACCAAACCAAAATCTTCCCCAAGCCAGAATCAGACAATGTCCTCATTGGATCGGGAACTAGCCCAGCATAGCTAGTCCTGATCATCCTGATCCATCGAGTCGAAGCCCGCACCTCCACTGCCACCTGCACCAGAAGAGCTACCACCAAAATAATCAGCATGAAAACTCCCCCCCGCCGGTCCCCCGAAAGGAATGTCCTGGCCGTTCTCGTAGAAGGAAGAATAGTCAGTGTAAATAACACGGGTAGTGGGATCCCTATCGTATCCCTGGGGTGGAGGCTGAAACCAGTCAGGGTGAATAGCGTCGTCGGGAGTGTTGCCCTGACGAGCATAGTCATCATACATAGGGTAGAGAGCTCTACCCTGGTTCCTCTCTAGGTACCCTAACCTCTGGTCTATGGAGCCTACCATCCTCCTAAGGTCAGTATGGGAATGCTCTATACGTCCTAAGGCCTGACCTATACTCTGAAGATCCCAAACTGGGTCAGAGTCAATATGTGGGACGGAGTGAGACATACGAGGTGGAGAGAATGCCACCTCGGACTGAGGCTGGGGTGGTGGAACTGGTGGTGGTGGTGCCTGCCCCCTAGTGTTGGCAACTAAAACATCATAAGTGAAAGGTTGCCCTGGGGGAAAGACAGTCAAGTCAGGACTGGGTAGGGGAAAAATGGGCAAAGGTTGCTCGCTCCCAGTCCTAATACACCAAAAGGGTGTCTGCTCGCTATCCGGCCGAACCCACCCCAACTCCTCGAAATACCTAGCAGTCATATAGGTGTCTGATCCACAGTTGGTCAGCTGGTGGGGTCCGTCCATTACAAAACCGACCTTTTTCACTGCTATTCGAGTGATAAGCACTACTACAATTTAATACTTGTGCCACGATTTATGCCACGGGATTTTTAAAATTGTGGCAATTTTACATCTTGCCACGGGATAATAGCTTTCACAATAATTCCTTTTGTTTTATAGATATATTTTGCCACGACAAAAAAATATTTGTGGCAAACATTCTATTTAGCCACGAAGCATTTTGTAGCAAGTATATTTTAGTCGGGATTCCTCTCATCATGGAGTACATTTGTACATACTAGTATGTGAAATTTTTTAAATTTAAAAACAATGACCTAAATTTTTTTAACAAAATTAAAACAACCGCCTTAAATAAAAAAAAATAGCCGCCTAAAATAAAAAGTTCCCACTAAATTATACCTACACTCTTACGTTCCCTCTAGTCTGACAAAAAAAAAACAAAAAAAAAAAAAAAAAGGGAAAAACCTAAAACATAAGCAGAAGTTCCTTCAACCTTCAAAATTTCTTTTTCTACCTTAAGTTTTATTTTTTTCTTCACCTATTGAAGTTATTGTTGGCCACCGCTCAATTTAATCTTTCAATTGTTCAATCATTGATGCTGGGATTCCTTAATTGCGGTTAGGTATTCTAATATTGATTTTCTAGTTAACATATATATATATATTATTGTAATCATAATTTTCCCAATTTTGCTTGTAGTTTCAATTGCTGCAATTCGGGTATTATTATTTATTCAGTGGAAAGGACTTTCAGGAATCAGAGACAAGGTATGTGTGTTTCTTGCAAATTTTTTCAATTTTGTTATTAGGGTTGTTGTAACGAATTGGAATTATTGGATGTTGCAAAAGAAAAATTAATTTTTGCTAAATTAGTTCGATTGTTAAGGTTATTGAGATTCATTATAAAGTATAGTGAGGCTTCCGATATTTGGTTAGATTATTATAGTTTTGCTGTGACTTTTCATTAGCATTCTAATAGTAGCGTTTTTTTAGCACTAGTATTATGCACTATAATAAGATAAAATAGCGTTGGTGTAGATGTGTAGTATGAAATTATAATTTTGATTTGCATATTAAAGCTAGTAATCCAATTGTTCCATGGGTGGGTACTTTTGGCGGCTAAACATATACGAAGTAATATAGTATTATATGTCTAACTGGACTAAATCTTATATCATATTTCTGGTGCTCAAATTAGATTACTCTAGTTTTGGCTGGATAGGATCCTGTATTCTTAGTTTTATTATAAAGAAACTTTTATTTTTATGTTAATACAAGTTTCAAGAAAAAAAAACTATTAAATCATGAAACTAGTGTTTTTTTTTTTCTTAAAAAAGAGTAGTTTTCAACGCATCAACAAGTGCAAAAATAGAACAAAATATATCATGTATACATAACTTTTTAGTAACAGATGTTAGGTGTAAATCTATTTAGAGTATTTGTTTTTAAACTCAATAACTTAAAACATGAGATGCTCAAGGTAAAGTTAACTTGTGTTAGATCAATATAATACTCTAGCGGGGCGTTTGGAATGTGGGAATGAGAGTTTGGGGATTAAAATATGGGAATGAGATTGGGAATTGATTGTTGAGAATATAGAAAAATATGACAATACTTTGTTTGGGTAGTGGATGAGAATAGATGGGGAATAAATAACAAAAATACAAAATTACCCTTATTAATCTTTCTCCTCCTTTTTTTTCATGAATGACAAAAATGTCATTTTCTACTTATTCCCATTCCCACCCATTTATTACCTACCCTCCCTAGGTAATAAAATGGTGGGAATTCAACTCATTTATTCCCAATCCCATTCCCTTATTTAATTCCAATCCCATCTAACAAACAAGAGATTTTGTTTTATTTGGGATGAAAATTCTCATTCCCACCCTGAATTCCCATTTACCAAACACCCCCTAGGTGACAATTTTAAGCCAATCTTTCTTGTTCATCAGTTCTTAGAAAGACTTTTGGTAAGACTTTTAAAGTGCTTCTTTGAAACATTGGCTCTTGTTTCTCTATATACGTTGTTCCCTCAATCTCTACTAAGCTAACAAACTTTAACTCATAGATTACATGGTTTTATGCATATTAATTAACTTTATTTTTTTTATTTTACATTTGTGATAGTAGTTATTAGAGTATTTTGATCTTTAGAGGCATCATAAATATTAATTTGTGTGTTTTTAAGATAAATCATGATGTTTTATTTTACCATTATTAATAAGAAGCTATAAGTAGTGCTTAGTTCTTAGGTGGGGCTTATGTATCCATATAAATTTTCCTGCAGAATTACGTTCAAATGCTCACATGTATTGAAAGTTTTTTTTTTTTTTCTAATTATGTATCTTGTAGCTACTTTTTCACTAAAGATATGGATACTTCAAATATTTTAATAAGGAAAAGGTTGGAATGGATGGGTTGTGATGATAGAACTCATACATTGTACATAAATGGGGTGACAGAGTTTTTAGACTTTGCTTTTACCGATCAATCTAGTAGTATTGATGATGAGGAAGAGGAAACTAAAGTCCCTTGCCCTTGTAATCGATGTAACAATAGTCGGCACAAGACAAGGGAAGAGATTTATGATGATTTGCTATTAAATGGAATGGTGAAAGGTTATGTTCGTTGGATCTATAATGGTGAATTTAATCCTCAAGAAAAACGACGTAGAATTGAAATAGGTGATGATAAGGGTCAAGATGAAATCTTTGATATGATATATGAGGCTCATGGGCCAATGAGCTCAAATGACATTCTAGATGAACTTAATAACCAACCAAAAGAGGGAGAGCCAGATGATAATGAGCATGTTAAGGGTACAAAGGGAGTTGAATCTTTTGAAAATTTGATGAGAGATGCTCAACAACGTTTATACCCTGGTTGTGATAACTTTTCAAAGTTGTCATTTATATTAAAGTTGTTCCAGATTAAGTGTATGGAAGGGATAACTAACAAAGATTTTACAAGTATGCTTAAAATGTTTAAAAGTGTGTTACCTAGTGATTCAAATGTGCCATCAACATACTATGAAGCACGTAAAATGATTACTGATTTGGGTTTTGATTATGAGAAGATTGAAGCATATGAAAATGATTGTATGTTATTTTGGAAAGAGAATGCTAACCTTGAAAAGTGTATTGTATGTGATACTAAACGTGACACAACTTCCCCTAAGGTGCTACGATATTTCCCATTAACACCAAGGATACAAAGGTTGTTTTTGTCTTCTAAAACTGCTAATGAAATGAGATGGCATAAAGATAAGCGGGAAGATGACGGAGTTCTTAGTCATCCAGCAGATAGTAAAGCATGGAAACATTTTGATGTGACATATAAGTCATTTGCTGCAGATTCTCGAAACGTCAGATTAGGTTTGGCATCTGATGGATTTAATCCATTTGGTGGTTTAAGAAGTGATTATAGCATAAGGCCAGTAGTGATTGTTGTGTATAATCTCCCGCCATGGATGTGTATGAAAAAACCTTATACTATGCTATCTTTGTTAATTCCAGGAAAAAGTGCACCAGGAAATAATATTGATGTATACTTACAACCTTTAGTTGAAGAGCTAAAGCAACTGTGGGAATTCGGGGCTAAGACTTATGATGCATCAAAAAATGAATATTTTCCTATGCATGCAGCTCTCTTATGGACCATCAACGATTTTCCAGCTTATGCTAACTTATCTGGGTGGTCTACTAAGGGCTATAAGGCTTGTCCCCGTTGTTTGAATGAAACCTCTTCAACTAGATTACCTAATTGTGGTAAGTGTTGTTATATGGATCATCGTTGCTTTTTACCTGCTGATCACAAATGGAGACACAATAAGTCTTTTAATGGTAAAGTTGAAACAAGGGGTCCACCAAAGAAATTATCAGGTAGTGAAATATTAGAGCAAGTTAAGGATCTTGAAGGTATGAAGTTTGGGAAAACCAGTAAGTTACCAAAGAGAAATGACAATTGGAAAAAGCAGAGTATATTTTTTAAATTGCCTTATTGGAATAACCTCTTGCTTCGTCATAATCTTGATGTTATGCATATCGAAAAAAATGTTTGTGATAATATTCTTGGCACTTTACTCGACATTGAAGGTAAAAGCAAAGACAATATTAAAGCTAGACATGATTTAAAACATGTAAAGATTATGAAGCATCTTGCTCCAAAATTGATTGACGGAAAATGGCATATGCCACCAGCACCTTATACATTATCCAAGGCTCAAAAATTAACAGTGTACAAATTTTTGGAGGATATTAAAGTTCCAGATGGGTATTCATCTAACTTTTCTAAGTGCATCAATCTTGAGAAGCGTAAAATATGGGGACTTAAAACGCATGATTGTCATGTGCTTTTAGAGGAATTGTTGTCGTTGGCAATTCGTGGAGTATCATCTTCTAAAGTGTACGAGGTGATTACTAAATTGAGTGCATTTTTTAAGAATTTGTGTTCCAAGACTTTAAAATTAGAGGACTTGAATGATCTTGAGGATCATATTGCAATCACCTTGTGTGAAATGGAAAAGATTTTTCTTCCCTCTTTTTTTGATGTAATGGTGCACTTATGTGTTCACTTAGCTGAGGAAGCTAAGATAGCAGGGCCAGTTCATTATCAATGGATGTATCCTATTGAAAGGTATTTATTTATTTTGAATGAATTGTGAAATTTCTTTGTTAACATGAACATATATTCATAATTTATAGTGTTGTCTTACAGGTTATTTCGAAAATTCAAATCATATGTTCGCAATAAAAATAGACCGGAGGGATCCATTGCAGAAGGATATATAATAGAGGAGTGTATGTTCTTCTGTTCAAGATATTTAAATGATATGGAGACTAAATATAACATGTTAGAGAGGAATGCAGAAGAAGAAACTGATGCTTATAAGGGATTATCAATATTTGCATCATATGGCGTTCCCTTGGGAAAGGCTAAATCTAAATCTCTAACTACCGAAGAGTTGATACAAGCTCGAGAATATGTGCTTAAAAATTGCGACGAAACTGAGTCATACTTAAAGTATGAACTTTCTTATTTTCCTTAATTTATTTTATGTTATACAAAGTATTTAGACACTTGTATAACAATAGTTTTCCTTTTTTTTAACAGTGAATATGCAGAAGCGGGATCTGATAAAAATTTGGTAGAATGGTTTCAAGATCGGGTATGATAATACTTAAATATATATATATTTTTTAATTCTAATTAACACTCAACTAACTCTCTCATATCGAACCAGGTTACAACATTGCCAGAAAGTGAGGATCAAGTTGTCAAAGATTTAAAAACTTTGGCTTTAGGGTCGTTTAGAGGTGTCCAGTGTTTTGGTGGATATTTGGCTAATGGATTCAGGTTTCATACTAAGGACATTGAAAAGAAGAGAAAAAATCAGAATTCTGGTGTTATGGTTAAAGGAATTGCAGAGTAAAAAAATATTGACTACTTTGGGGTGCTTAATGACATAATTATGCTACAGTATTTAGATGGAAAGCGTGTGATCTTGTTTCGTTGTGATTGGTGGGATGCATAAGATTGGTAAAGGGGTTAAGATTGACAAAAGCGGTGTAGTTAGTGTTAACACTAAATGTAAGCTAATTACTGATGAGCCATTTATGCTTATGTATCAAGCCCAACAAGTATTTTTTGTTAGAGACGGATTTGATACAAGCTGGTTGGTTGTGATTAAGACCCATCCGCGACATCAATACAACATCCCAGAAAATGAAAATGTCGATTTAGATGAGGATGCTTTACAACAAAGTGACTCAGGAGCTGTTCCTAATGTTTTCTTATCGGCTCATGACTTAGAGGACACTCCTTATCAATTTGATGACCAAAGAGATGATATTGATGACATAATCATTGATGCAACCGATCAAAATCAACCCAAAGTTGTCAATGATAATGAAATCGAAGATGATGAATTTGATTTTGATACAGACAATGACACTGATGGTGAAGAAGAATGTGATAATGATGGAGATGAGGACGATGATGATTATATTACATGATTTTTGTTTCTTTAAATTAATTTTTTAAATTAATTTTCTTTCACTAATGTTATAGTTTGACATTTTAATACAATTTTTGTTGGATATATTACGCTTTATCAATCATGATCTAGAAAAGTTGCATGATATAGTAATTTATGATGTAAACTAATGATTATATGGTATATAGTTATTAACACTTTTAGTGCAGGTTTAATGATGGAGAAAGTTGGAATTAACACTTCTGACAAGAATAGTGGCCAACAAAATGAGTATGAACAACAAAGGTTAAAGAGGATTCAGGATAATAAGTATAGAATGCAATCCTTGGGTATCAAGCGCATTTCAGCATCCTTGACAAGTTTAGTGGAAAGCAAAAAAGAAAATAAGAAGATGAAGAAGAGCAAAAATGTGACTAAGATAGATAAGGACTATGTTCCAAACTTTGATGATGAGGATGACATGAATTTTCTAGATGATAATGAATATGAGAAAGAAGATGATATTGCAATGCCAAAGAAGGTACTTTCATAAACTAGCTAGTTATTTATTAATTTATATGGACATCAAGTTTTTGTTATCTGCTTAATAACATGTTTCAGGATAAGCGTTCTGCAACTAAAGGAAAGCTGAAAAAAAGTCAATTCATTCCACCAATGTGTGTGGCTAAGTTTTTTAATATGAATAAAAAGCAACAAGTAGCAATGGTAGGAGATAAAACTTTTAAATCACTTTCAAAAGCCATGAAAGTTGTGGAACAAGGTATGTGATATGAATATTTGAATTATCTAAATGTTTATAACTCAGAGTAACATAAAATTCAATATATGTCTTCCTTAATGCAGCCATTAGTAATAATCACGTACAATCAAATGCACATCAAAAAAATATTGGTCAAGATGAAGGTAAAAGCCATTGGTTCCTTTTAATGAACTATGAAATTAAAAATAGAATTGTCCTTTTATACTTGTACATTGCAGACATACAAGATATCGAAGGAATTGTAGAGGATTTGAATGAAAATGCTGATAATGAGGTTGAAATGAATAAAGGTAGTTTATATATAATAATTTTTTTTGTTTTAATTGGGATTTTATACAACGTTAAATCAGATATGAATGAGCATTTATTTGATGATGATGTTCAAATGAATCAAGGTAAGTGAAATTGTCATTCTTAAAGACTTCAGCAATAACTATACTGTAATACATTTTCATCTTGTTTTATGAATGTTTTTGTAATTGCACATATGAAAGAGGATATGGAGATACACAATGATGAGGATTTTCAAGTAACAGGTGATGTATCTACTCATGTGGTTGATGATGAATTAAATGGAGATAGAAGGCTTATTGTAGTAGAAGGTGATATAATATACATTGTATTGTCTTTGTTGTTTTTTTTTCCTTTTTTTTTTTTTTTGGAAAAATGATTTTAATAATTACTATTTTCATAACTCTTAATGTTTAGGTCCTGTTAAGAGAAGACGAGGGCCTGTATATTGCAGAAAGCTTACTATATTGCCTCCTGGAGAAAAAATATATGTGGAGTTTAATAAGGATGGCATTCCTGTTGGAAAAAATTCATCACTCTTTGCTTTTTTCTTGGGTGAACAAGTAAGAAATAGCGCCGTCATTCCTTTGCAAGTTAAAGATTGGGAAGACATTCAGCCTGATAAAAAGGAACATCTTTGGAGTTGTGTTTTGGTAAGAAGCTTTTTTCAAAGTGTTTTCTTTGCTCTACGTAATCCGATCTTATTTTTTTTTCTTATTTTTTACAGGAAAAATGTTCATTTGATGACCCCGAGATAAGAAAAGACAGTGTTCTTAAACATGCTAGAAAATTATATAGAGACAGTAGACATAAGTTGAAACGAAAATATTATGATGATCCAAATCTTAAAACAAAAGCTGAACGCTTGAAAAATAAGCCTGAAAAGCTACTTAAAGCGGACTGGAAGTACTTGGTTGAATTTTGGAGTGATGAAAAATTTCAGGTATTAAAAGTTCTTATATTATATGTATTAAAATTTATATTTGTTGTACATGAATTTTTTTTTATTTACCATAGGCAAAGAGTATGAAAGCGGCTGAAAGTCGATCTCATCAAAAGATGCCTCACTATAATGGGACTAAAAGTTTTGCTCGCACGAAAGATGAATTTGTAAGTTACTGCAAATAGGAGTTTATTAAATTTCACCTCTTCTAAAGTGAATTAATAACAATGATTATTTGTGTTGTAGAAAGAAAAACATGGGAAGGAATGTTCACGAGTTGAGCTGTTAATTGAAACTCGTAAGAGGAAATCAAAGAAATCAGTTATTGATGTTGCCTTAGCTTATAATATGCATGCACTTGTAAGTATATTTCAATTTTGTTTTGAATTATATTTGTCACAAAATCTGAAAGCTTGTATGACTTAATTTAATTTCTTTGTATTGGTTTTTAGTCTGAAATGAAAAAGTTGAAAGAAGAAAGAGAACAAGGGCTTAATAACTTCACAGATGAACAAATATTTGTGAAGGTGCTAGGTGAAGACACTCATGGATATTTGCGTGCATACGGAGGAGGTAAAAGCATTACTGATTATTTTGGGGTTAAGCCATCTCGTATAAATCTAGCTCATGAGATGATAGAAGTAAAAAAGAATGCCGAGCAAGCAGTTCAAGAAGCACGAAAAGATTCCGAAGACGCAAGGAAAGAAGCAGAAAATGCTAGAAAAGATGCGGAGCTTGCAAGGAAAGAAGCGGAAGCAACTAGGGATGAGGTAAACCAAAAAATAGCTGCTAATAACAAGTTATGGGAGAAAAGGCTTAAAAAGATACTACAAGGTTGTGGGATAAATGCTTCCAAAAGTGATGATTCAGAGAGTACTAGCTCGTCATCTTCAATTAAGCAGGTAAACTTTCTAAATTATTCTTTTTTTTTTTTTTTTTGTCATCCAATTACTCAAATTGTTTTATAGCTTGTTTGATTTCTTTGATACAACAATAAAATCTACTCTACTTACACTTTGGTAGATAATTTTGGATATAATTTTTGTTAATGCTATTTTGGCTACATAGTTGGTCAACTATAGATTGATGTTTGTAGGAATTTGAACAATTAACTTCATTTTTTTTTTTTTGGAAAAATGCTACTGTTATATCATATGACTAGTTAATGATAAAAAAATTTCTTCTAAATACATTTTTTTTTTCATCTGTTGCAGGTAAGATGAATTAATTGGAGCTTTGAAAGTTGACACTAACCAGAGATCATGAAGTACAAGATGTATTGGAGTATTGTTTTTTTTATGAGTGGGATATTATAAAAACAAATTTATTTTAGGTTTTTAATTATGCACATTATTAAGGATTTTTTTACTAGTGTTACTTTGACTTTGTGAAGACCTATTAAATTAATTCCATGTACTCAATATATATGCATCTTCTTTGGTATAAAATTTTATTATTCAATTTGAAATAGTTAGCAAATTTATTTCATTATTATAGGCTTATAGTAGATGTTGCAACTACATGTGAAATATCTATTCTCATTATTTAGTAGCATGTAAAACACTACTTTCATCATCAAGAATTTGATAAAGATACGCATGTGGTTTAGTGAGTTAGTAAGCCACGGGTAACTCCTACTTGCCATGATTATACTTGTAGCTAGAGGACATATTTAGCCACGAGAAAACTCGTGGCAAAAAAAAATCATTTATGCCATGATACCTTTTTTCCCGTGGCAATCACCTAGCCACGCACACTTGTGCCACGACTTTATTTTTAATGAATTCCCGTGGCTAAACAGCATTGCCACGAGAATTTCAAACTTGTGCCACAGTCATAGCACAAAAGTCAAATTGTAGTAGTGAAGGCCACCTAAACGGATAGGGGTTTTTGATGTGGTGCTGGTCGTGGCATGCCTACTCAAATGGTGAACAATAAACCTACCTATGTTCAATTTCCCGTACTTATACACATAGTTTCCTATGACAGCTAGTTCGTTAGATTAGGCATTGTGGGGCTCGGCCCTACCTAAAAAACACAAACCCGCAAATCTTTGCCAGATTTTTGGGACAGGGTGGTGAATAGGTTTGGTACTAGCATGTTGGGGGTCGGGAGTAGGCAAACCAGTCAAAGCATTATATATGTCACCCATTTTATAGTCTGCATGCCATTGGTGAGATAGTTCAGAATTTAATTCAAATAATTTACAAAATTCTACAAAAGTTAAACTAATATTTCTATTGTTCAACCTGAAAAATAAATTTGGCCCATTTCTACTACTAAAAACATGTAAAGAAGACAAGAATTCACAAGTAAGTTCTCGGAATGTAGGATAGTGCATATTAACAAATTTTCTCATGCCAATGTCATTTAAAAATCGTTTTACAAAATCAAACAAACCAAATGATTCTAGAGTAGGGCGGTGTAACCACCGAGAAGGAATTACCTCACGACCGATTAAATGTTCTAGCCGCTCCTTTTGCTCTCGACTAGCAATACGTAGAGGTGTCCACCGTGCGAGTCGTGCGAGCTGGGTTAGGGTTAGGTGGGTCGCGGGTTGGGGTTTCATGACACACGGCACGACACACGTAGGGTAGGGTGGGCCGGGTCGTGGGTTGGGTCGGAGAAGTTGGACACACCAGGGTTAGGTTCGTGGGTTAGACGAGTCGTGGGTGGGTCGAGCTGGGTTTGTGGGTTAGACGGATCGTGGGTGGGTCGAGCTGGGTTTGTGGGTTAGACGGGTCATGGGTGGGTCGAGCTAGGTTCGTGGGTTAGACGGGTCAAGGTGGGTTAGTGAGTTAGGGTGGGTCGAAGGGTGGGTTAGTGGGTTAGGGTCGGGTGGGTTTGTGGGTTAGGTGGGTTAGGGTCGGGTGGGTTAGTGGGTTAGGGTCGGGTGGGTTTGTGGGTTAGGTGGGTTAGGGTCGGGTGGGTTTGTGGGTTAGGGTCGGGTGGGTTCGTGGGTTAGGGTCGGGTGGGTTGTGTGGTGTTTTAATTTTTACAAAATTAACAATTTGATGGCTTGCTCTTAATTAAGATGCCTACGTATCCTTATATTATAAAATAAGGAATCAAAGCCAGCGTAGTTCTTATATTGTACTTCTTTTGAAATTTGGGGGGGGGGGGCTTGGACCTA